GCTGAAAAATCTTGAAAAAGAAACATAGGAAATATCGCACGTTTTTTTAAAGAAAAATGATATTAACGCTCTTAAAAAAACCCTCTAGCAATTTCTGTATCTATGCAAGCTTTTACAGACACAGAGGATGGAGTGCTAAAAACTCTTTTAGAAGTGCTAATAACAACGTTACATCTCCCTTCTAAAACTAAATACACAATTAATTATTGATTGTTCACCTGCTGAGCGAGCAGCTGCCCCAATCCAAACTAGAAGAACTATAATTAATCATAGGAACTAGGAAGCATTCGAGTCCAAACTCTCCTCGGCCGATCTTGGCAACTAATGGCGGCAGCATGGTGGGATTGCCGGTGCAGTTGCAGCAGCCCCGATCCAAAACCATGGCAAGAATTTCGGCTGAACATACATGCACGGAGCTGAAATGACATGTCGGTGCTTCAGGACAAAACTTGATATCAAAACGATGGTAACTAAACACGAATAATTACCTACTTTATCTTCGAATTTCACTGCAGATGTAAATGCTGGATTAGTGAATAACATACAAGTGTTCTTGTTATAATTAATGACCTTTAATCTTAAATATATGTCCTGCTCCACCCAAAAATCACTAAGCTTTTTTTTTTTTTTTTGTGTGTGTGAAAAAAACACGTACTAGCTAGTTGGCTCTTTTTTGTACATGAAGACGAAATATCATTTAATCAAAGACACAGTACTCAATTTGTAATATGCGTGGAGGTGTGTCCGCGAGAGCCAGACACCAGGACACATGTCTTTCTTATGTCGTACATGTCTGCAAATTCCGCTGCAAATGTAAGCCCTGCATTGATGAGTAATACATGAATATTCTGGTAAGTGACCTTTAATCTTAAGGATATGTGTGTCCTGCTCGAGCAGAAACCACTAAACTTTTTTGAACCAAAAAAAAAGAAGAAAAGAAACGCTACTTCAATCTTTTTTGTACATGAAGACGAAGTCTCATTCAAATCAAAGCCACAGTACGCAATTTGTATATACATGCAGACACGTCTTATGTCTCTGTTCAACATATCTTCTCACAAACTTTTGCTTTAGCACAATGTTATTCTTCTTGCATAAGCTCAAATTAGGAAAAATCGAGGGGGTTTTTTTTTTCCGAGTAATTCTGCCTTCATCCTAGGATGGGTACAAGGTTTCTAACTCTATTATCATACGTATATTTTTCTTCTCTTTTATCAGAGAGAGAGAGAGAGAGGAATTAATCTTGACTCCTCTATGAAAAACTATATCTTGAGTTTTCAGAACTCTAATACTCGAACCAGCTCATCCCACCTAAATTATAAGAAGAAGACTAATCAGAAATCCTTGAAAATGACTTTTGTGGCCGTATTGCTAAGATATGCCATTAATAATGAAGCGCTAATATTGCATGAATACGTGCATCAATCGGGCTGCTTATGATCATTTTAAATGGAGTAGATTAGATGTCTGCTAGCTGGGGATAAGAACCACCACCAAAGGCAGATGCAATCTTCCAGATTTCGTTAATTCAAGCATGTGTTTCATATTACTATCTCAGCTTTATTTAAAGGAGGCTAATGGAGGTCGTCAGTTTGGTCCACCGAGTCATAGATTACATTTTGTCAACTTCTGTTTCTGCTTTGGGGTACGTAGGAGGTTAAATTTGATGTTCAAGAACGTTCTCCAAGTTAGTGGCGCAATCTTATCATAAACTTCTGAGTGCAAAAAGTTTACCCAGTGGATGATATGATACCGGGCAATAACATGGAAGTACGAGAAAAAGTGCAGCAAAATAGACGCTCACAATAAGTCCGTAGGACAATGAGTTTGAGAAATTGTTTGTCTACAGAATAAAAAAAGAAGTTAAAGACTGAAAAATCCCGACAAGTAAATGCATTATGAATAATCACCGTAGTCGTACGCAAAATTGAAGAATTTGACACGTTGAGGATGCAAAAGTAGCAGCTACAACTATGCCCATTGTGCAATTTTGGCAACTTCAAGAATTTCAATGTTCGAGTACCAGATAGCACTTTCATATCCAAATTACTACGAAGAGCTTGATTTAGATTGCTGTTGGCATCTAAAATTTCAGAAGAAAAAGATTGAGAGCATTTTTTTTCTGACTTCTTGTGTTTCCATTTTCATATTCCTGTCTCTTAATCCAAAAGAAGAAAATATATATACAAAAAAGAAGACGCATATTTTGACGTTGGTAATCAACCCAAACGAGCTAATTAACTGCAATTGTTAGTAACTTAACTGAAGATTCTCAAACCAGAAGCAGCAAAATTTTGACTGATTCGACCTAAAGCTAAAACATATATTATATTAGTTCCTAATAGTCATCAAACAATTATGGGTACATATCTAGTTTGAACATATATAATATATAGTCACATGTTCGTGCCTTCTCCTTTTCTGGTTCTCGTATGGTATGTTGAGGAGTGTCCTGTCCTGCATTATCTCATGATGGTGCATAAAGACAACTCTCAAAATCTTATCACTTTTGGATTTATGCTACTCGATAAATTATGACTAGACGTGTTAAAGACACGATTAGTCCCAGTCATTTATCTGATTATGGACAGATAATAACGCCCACTGCATGTTCTTCAATAAAGTACAACTTTCATAGTCTAGCAGCATGCGTCGTGCTCTCTCTCTCTCTCTCTCTTTCTGTGTCTCTTATTTCTTAGGAGTTCAAGAAAGGCTGCTTCATTCTAAGATCAGGGTAGGCCACTGTTCTACCGTAGAAAACTGCGCTGATACTCGTTTGGCCGGTGTTACTTCTGCGTGTCTGTTCATTGTTTGGGTGTGTGTGTTTATTTTGCTTCGGCAAAAAAAAAAAAAGTACGTAGAACTCAAACCTGGTTAGGCAAACAAAGGTGAACGAACGTTCTTAGCTTAGCTAGCTGCACCATTAATACCCGTTGCAAGGTTGTTCTCTTGTCTTTTTTTTCCCATTAATTAACTTATCAAACTAGTATCAGAACAATGAATGGAAACAAACATCAAGAGCGTTGTCATTAAAGCAGTATTCAAATTGGTTCAACTATGAATATTAATTAAGCTTCTATTCTTTTTTGTTCTTGTTTTCTTTTCGCTTTCTTGAAATGAAAAGAAACCTTTAATTTAAACTGCTCCCGATCAAATTAGCCTGTGGAATCCAATTTTAACGGACAGTGGTTGAAAGTGCGCAGCTCAATTATTGCATTCGTTTGCTTGATTTGTGGAAGGGGACAATACTTGTTTCTGAATAAGACTCGATCGTACGTGTTTGTTGCTTCACCTGTTTCAAGATAAGATCAGTATGGGATAACATAATTGACTTACAGTCGTCACAGATAATCCTCATATTATATTTACGGCTGCCAATCTTCTTCCCGGTTTCTGATCGATTTTGATGGCTAGTTTTTTTTTTTTTTTTTTTTTAGTATTCGGCATTATTGTGCTAGTAGTTAGTCCATTATTCTAAATTTCCTATATATTTTGTGGCCAATTAACTTCTGGGACGAATTTCACGTACAAAACTTGTCCACTTTTCCTTCTTTGCTTCTCGACTTCGCCATAGATGCATGTTCACTTGGATCACAAACGAACGTGTGTACCAATAAATAGAGGGCAAACAAGAAATCAAATTTTTTTATAGATACGAAAACAACGGTTAATACAAGCTTACTTCCTCTGGATCACTTTCTGATTTAACGAGAGTCCCTCCCTTAGTTGTACAAGTTTCTTCTTCTTTTTTTTTTTTTTTTTTTTTTGCTCAATTTGTTACGTTCGACATATATATATATATATCTATGATTGTATGTGTTTACTCTTTTTTTTTTTTTAATGTGTTTGAAAGGGACAAATAAAAGATAACTTAATGGAACCATAAGGGAGAAGAAGCTCTCAACAAAATAAAATAAAATAAAATAATTCAGGTTCGACAAGTATATATATATATATATACATTTACATACTCACCCTCTTTTTCCTAATAAATGAAATCGAAATTCTCTCCAAATAATTGACCTCTAGTGTTCAGAGTACTTTCTTTCCACGTGGCGGAAGGAATGCTGCAAACGTTCCTGACCCCCACCCACAAAAAAGAAAGAAAGGGTAGTGATTTCCAGGTTAGACGTTTAAGCGGACAACCATTAACTCAAATGGTAGCTTATTAGCTCGGAAGATGGCGATTTCTCTGATCATTTATGATAATTACTTCGTTGACATTAAACAAGCCACTCAAAAAGATGGCTCCGTTCAGCAAATGAGTTTTTTGGATGTTTGTCTAAAATTTTATTGTAACTTACTGTAAAAATTGTAGAAAATTTTTTTGAAGAGTGTAATTTTTAAATATTTTGAAGTGTATAATTTAAAAATTTTAAAAGATTTTTTGAAGTTATTATAGTTAAAGTTGTTAAAAAACTTATAACAGACAAACTTGGCCAAAAATTTCTTTGTCAAGCAAACCCGATATTTTGCGGAGAGTTGAGTTGGGTGATAAAGATGAAAATGATTATAAATAGAAGGTTTGGTTTAAAACCTCCAATTCACTTGCCAAAACAAAAAAGTAAGCCAGCCTGTGACGATAACAGAAGAAAGCAAGCCTTCCTACCTGTGACCATACTATTGGGCCCGGAAACTGGTTACAAAGGAGAAGGGGCTGCCCTAATTGTAGTACGGGTTTCGGAATCTCCAAATCTTAAAGGAGAATATGTTGACCAAATTGCAGTACGGGTTTCGGAACCTGTAGTTAACTGGTTGTGAACTTAGAAGACTTTTTTGTTTTTTAAATCACAAATGGCTAAGCTGACAAAAGAAATGCCATAGATATAGAACGGCAACTAGAACATCAGAGAAACGGAAAGACCTGTAAAGGAATTTGCTTTGGAAGCAACAGAAATATAGTTTAACTCATGAACACCCCTTGATCTTACAATCGTCCCCAAAAAATAACTAAAGAAGATCAACAATTTTGGAATCCGAGTAAAATCTACAAATGAAAAGATCATGCAAAGGGAACGAAGCTGCTTTCTGCATTAACAGAGCTGATTGTTCATATGTCTATATATGGTCCTCCATCACCCCAGAGGTATATATAAAACCTGGAAGTAAACATGAACCCCACAAAACCAGACACTGTGTCAGTCAATATGCATTGAAATAAAAAGGCATAAAGGACACTGTGATCTAAACTCCTCTAAACCTTGCCATTCTTCAAACTGGTTTCAGACTACTTCAAATTTACCAAGTAATATTCGAACCCTACAATTGCAGCATGAACCCTCAATGGGTCATCAGTTTTGTCGTGTTCTTTGCTCACATCACAGTCGATTGTATCACCTTCAATCCAGTTTTAACTGCTATTTACATTTCCGATCTAAGGATAAAATTTGCTGCCCCTCACTTTCAACCTATTAAAATACAACAACCTCATCATGTAGTCATACCTAGGAATGCAAATTGACGCCCTCTAAATTCGTTGAACTAAAACAAACCTTGTACCCTATACTAATTTGAGAACAACAGAGTCAGGCAAGAATTAAGGCATTAGCCCCAAAATCTTATTGACTTCAACTCTATGTACTAAGATTCACGAAAAATCAACTATGGGTTAGCTCAAGGAGAATTTGGATCACTGGTTCTTTGGATTACTAACAGGATAGCTCTCTTCAGGTTGTTTTTCCACAAATAGTTCGCAGCTTCAATCCACCTTGGATGGACCAAATATTTTCCCTCCTGCACTGCCCAAATGGATTTCTCTGTTCCCGGATCCAAAGAGACGACATGTGTTACTGACGGGTCAACTTCAGATGAACATATAGCTCCCAACCGCTCTGCCATTTTCCATAGGTGATGATTTTCACCCTGAAACTGTGTGGGGAAAACGCGAGTAAATACAACCTTGCAACCCTTCAAAACTTCCTTCCTAACTGTTATTAGCACCTGCCATAGATATAAAGAGAAAATATATCACACTTCTTTCTAAATAATATTAAACATCACAAGTCAACATCATAGAATTCATGAATAAGAAAGATGAAACCAATCTAAACTGGAGAATGAAAAACTTAAAACTCCAAAGTCACCAGAATCCTTTATCATGGGTTGTGGTACAAATTCTTCGTAGCAAAGCAAAATTTTTGCAGAAGATGGACCCATACAAACATAATTTCACTAATCTAATGTTTGAAAATTTTCTGACAGCTTGGAATGCAGGTTTATTTGTTCAAAACCCAGTAACAGTTTGGCAAAATAAATTGCGTGCTTAGAAAGAAAGCTCAAGTGAAAACATGAAATTCCATAAAAGCGAATTCAATGACAATACAGATAAGGTACCATAATAATACTCATTAGGGAACCAGTGCATAGGCTAACGAAAAAAGATTATGACTTCAACTCCTACCCAAACACAGAAACATATGGAGGAAAGCCATCAGTACTAGTCCTCCACAATTACCTGCCTCACATCTCGATCAACAAGACTTGCACTATGTTCCTGTAAAAGAAGATTTCAATTAGAATAATTGAGCAACAAAATGTTAAAGCAATTCAAACAATAATAGTGACGAACACATACCGTGTCAAAAAAGGTAGAATGTATCTGCTGAAGAACTCTAAGAACCGTAGCAAGGGCTCCTTCACTTTCACTTTCATCAGTTTTACGCTCAGAGAGTGATTTTGAACCGAAGCCAAATTGACGACAACTTGAAGCAAAAAAATGATATCTTTCCATCAATATCAAATTCTCCTTGTGTTTTCCCCAGACCTAGATCATTCAATAACGCTCTTGTCAACTTGGCAGCAAATGCAGACATATACAAACTTCTGAAAGTACTTGCTTAAAAATCAATTAGTCATGATAGATGTCTATGTATGTCATCTGCTTCCCAGACAACATTAAGAAGGAAGCAAGCTGCACCAGACTGTCAACTAAATCCACTGTTATGTGGACACGGGGACCCAAAAGATGCCAAAATATCCCCAAATATATGCATGCACTCACACACATACATACACAAAAACGCGCACACAGACAATCCCACCATTATAAAATGACTATTTCCAATTGAAAACATCTGTGTGTAAAGGAAAACATCAGTGCTCACAAACTGATAATAGAGGAAAAGCAAACAATTGACACAAAATAATGAGAACCAGAAAAGGCAGGAGAAAATCTGACAAACTAAATATGAAATACTGTCAAGGACTACTTATTGGAATTACCGCTTCCGTGTCATCAAGTATTAAGACAGCACTTTCTTGCCCCAAAACAATATCAAGACCTTTCTGGTGTCTCTGTGTGCAATCTCCTTGTGCAATCACTCTGGAGTTGAAATAAACATCCAGGGTCAAGCAATTTTGCCATTTGCAATGCATATGCACGTTCACCCATTGTGTATATGTACATCTCAAACAAGTCGCTTGCTTCTTTCAAGAAACTATGGACGAAGGGCCTTAACTTGGTCATCATATGCATATAGTCTAGTTTGTATAAGCTGTTCTTCAAAGCATCTGGAACAATAAAGTAACCAGTTAAGCTACAAAATATTAGTTACAATTATGAAAATCAACAAGTTAACCAAAAGGATACCAAAGCAAACAATGAAACCCTCTATCTCTAATAAATAAGAAGAATTGAAGAAATATTGGCAAAAACTTAATGAAAAATGTTAATTTAATTATTACAATTCCACTACCAGTAGCAGCACAGTAAATAATTAACCAAAATATACAAGTAAAAGCTGCTTCCAGTCTCCAGAAGTGCAGAAATTAAGGAACACCAAGATTAAATGGATTAAGATACAAAACAGAAATAGAGAACTCATGCACTGTAAATTCAATATTCATAGTAAAAATACGGATCTGCATAGCATATTAGCCAAATGGAATCAATGTAGATACCAGATTATTTGTCCCAAAGGATGGCATTGGTCTCTTTTGGTCCAAGAAGAATCTAGAGTTCTTTGTAACCTAAATACTGCCCATATCCGTTCCAAGGAACATGTGTACTAAACCATGTCCTGAAATAATCATCCCCAAGTAGTGGAAGTACCTCCAAGGTCATTAGAGCTACCTCCAGTTTGAGAGTCATCCTTTTGAAAACAATGAACTAAGTTGTGAAAAGTAGACCATCATGAAACTTCAATAATACAAACCCTAATCAAAACCATGTGGAAAGGAGAAGAGCTTGTCGGCACTAGTCAGTCTGACCAAATGTCTTCCATTAGCAACTCTCTCTCTCTCTCTCTCTCTCTCTCTCTCTCTCTCTGAGATGGTGACAAGCTTTTGTCACAATTTACTTTTATTTCTTTGTGATAATGGAAATGAGGTCTAGGGGGGAAAAAGGGATTTGTAGCCTTTGCTCATAGAATTTCATATCATAGTATGAATCAAATATATAAGACCAGACAACAGAGTTGTCATGTAAAATAGAAAACTATCCGCATAAAACAACTGTAACAGAAATCACAGAAGAATGATAAAAATTAAACAGCAACTACACAAAAGAGAGCATTGTACCAGATAGATCATCTCTGGAGCCCTTCAAGTAACCCTCATCTACTGTAAGGTCTAAAAACCGACTTGAGTTCAGCAGTGTGTGATCTAAATCAAGAACCAAGTAAAGTTTTTTCTTGCGAAGCAGGTTCTTCAAGTCTTTATCACGTAATCGAGCAATCTCGTCATTAGCCAGCCTTAGATTCTGTTGAATAAATTACATAATTACCTGCCTAAGTACCTCCACATAAAACAATAAACTTCTCTATGTGTAATATGAAAAAACCAATACAACAAATAGCTGTAAAAAAATGCAGCCCAAAAATGCAGCCCAGAAAATTTAAGGTTAGAACTACATTTTTCCGTGACAAAAAAGAGTTCAAAGGCAAGAATCAGTTAACATCATTCATAAAAATCTTACGGGGAGAGATGAAAAAGATGGAATTGCTCCTTAAATGCACCAACATTCTGTGCAAAAGTGAAAACTAATATTAAACCTTAAACCCCAGGGAAACTTCAGATTTCAAATTGGAAAGAAAGAGCTTACGATTAGAATGTGCTAAAAGAACTTACAGCAGAAGCATATAAACAACAATAAGTGATTCAAAAACAGCCAAATCTAGAAAACAGGCAAGTAATCCTGAGCAGCCAAATTTAAAAACAACAAAATACATCCTAACAAGATTTCCAAGCGATTGCAACCTTGTGTATGTAGCTGAATGCAACACCAGACTCATCATCCATCTTCAGCCCACACCGTATACATAACCCACCAATCACACCAGGATGTGAACAAACATCCTTATCCGAAGATGCTCCTGCAGAAAGCAGACTTTTAGAAAACAAAGCATCATGTTACCAGAATTTCATAGTGAACTTTCCACCAATCTTGCATTGCTACTTAAATTCCAGTTTGAAATCAACAGAGTACCTTTTTGTTAAACTAAGAAAATTTAAGAAATCCAACTGCATCTACCAAAATCATAAAATATCCTATATCTGGCTTCCCTTGTGTAAAAAAGTACTTTACCCCATTTTCAAACCCTTGAAGTAAATCCTTATTTTCTAGACTTCAGTTCAGGTCTCTTTCAGGATGTTATTGGTATCCATCGATCACAAAAACTGTAACTAACAATCAACCTAGAAAGATTTTTAGACTAAGCCCTTGTCTGATCATCTTGTTACATATTGAGGTTAGCATGCAAATATTAACTGTATTAATTGTTGCGTATCTATCATAAGCGGCAAATGAACAGAAAGAGTACAATCATAAGCATTACCTGAAGTTTGTATCTCAACTTCCTGGGACGTCATAGCTTCTACATCTAATGAGCTCTCAAGAATCTCAACCTTGCGCCTTTTAATCCTTTAATATAAAAAAAAAAGCAAAAGTTGAACCAGACAAGAGGCACAGAAACCACGGCAAGCAAGTACAAAGAAACATCTTCAGAATACTCACTTCTCAGAGTCTAAGTCATAGTCGTCAGTGTCGCCACCTTTGTTTTCTGCTTCTTCTTCTTCTACTACTTCCTCCTCTGCTTCTTCTGGATGAGGTGATGCATCAGAGGCAGAATCCAACTCTGCATCAAGAAATGCAGCAAAATCCTCGCCACTTGTGCTTGGAGAGTGCACAGGTGAGTCTGCTGTTAAGCTCATCTGAGCAAACAAAAGCCAACATATATCTTAGATCTCTTACTAGACCAGAAATTTTATCCAACACTTTTATGATGAAAAAAGAAAACAAAACAGAAGAATTAACACTACCAATCAACCAGCAACAATAAATTAAGGCGAAATTACACGATAATGGAAGTAGAGAACAATGTTCATACCCACAGCATGATCCAGCACCTAGCCATTGGTATGCCAATGCACTTTTTAATGTTTTTAAAGCTTATCATGCAATTGAGGACAGAATTTGCAGTCAAAAAGACAATAAAATCAGAAAAAGATGACAAAAAGAATAAAGAAAGTCTAGAATCAGTTTCTCAAAATAAACAAAAGGAAGTTCATCCGACATTATACAAGATTAGAAAGTGTTAGTGTAGCCTAGTCTAACTCAGAAAATGACTGCTAATCTTCCAAGGCCAAACAATGCTTTGGCAAATTTCTGAAACTTGTAAAGGAAACATATTTTTGAAAATTTATTCGCTGATTAAGGGACTACCCATTTAAAACCAACCCACTGTAAATTCAATAAAAGAAAATTGCCTTTGCTATCTTAATTAATTAATAATTTTGCAGCCCCTGTGCATTCATGCAATGAACTTTTGCACAATCTTTTTCCCTCTCTGATTATTGAAGTTTTCTAAATATTCATTCCTTCGGTCATTTGCCACTGTTTCTAAATTTTGCAGCCTAACTTCTTGAGCATAAATTTCAACTCAAGACCAATAACCATTTCTTCCACAACCAATTTCATCAAAGTATAGTCATTCAAATATGGAAATTCTGTTTTAAGTGAACGGAATAGACAAAGGAGTGCATAAATAGTAGACATTCTTGTTCTGGGGAGGTGTGAACGGCAGAAGACATGTCACTAACTGATTGGTGAGACAGCACAGAGTTAGCTTTTCTAATTTAAGGTCATGCATTTCCTGGTTCTACGGCTGCCTCATTTGCATGTTCAGATAACAAAGCTGGAAGAACTTAAAAAAGAAAATCCTAAATGTCATAGATATTGAGCTATCAAAACACCACCTCTGCTGCCCAATTAACCATTTTCCCTTTCTTTCCACAAAATTAAGGAAGCATCCATATACCTCAAATCAATTAAAAAAATCAAAATTTTCAACAATCTACAATTTCAAACTGCAACGCCAGTCTATATTATCAAAAAAAAAAAAAAAGAAAAGAAAAAAAAAAAGAACTCAAGAGACCAATTAGTCAACCAGCATCACGATAGCCAAAAACCAAGAACCGGTAAGCAAAACATTGAACGATCATCATACACATAAATGGAAAACAGCCAAATCAAAAAATCAAAACCCACAAACTCTTCAGGTGTTTCACCCAGAACCCATCTCTCATTAGAGACCATAAGCAGTGAAAAGAATGAGTGCAGCAGTGGATTTTACGTGGAAATTACAAGCAACAGATACTCCACACGTTATGGTCAGAAAAAGCAGAAGAAGCCTTGAGATACTTCAGACAGTTAAAAGCGAAGGATGGCAATGACAACTAGACCACAATTTTATCATCTAGAACAGCATAAGTACGAATAACGAAGAAAACTATTCAGCCAAACAAAATGCTACTAACAACAATACAATCAGCAATTACAACTGCAACAAACCGGGATAGCAAATGGAGGTCAAATTTTAGCTGATAATATCACATTAAAACTTTGATTAATAACTTAGGAGGAGGTAATAAAACCCTTGCCTGGAACTTGATCAAAATCTCATATCGTTGATTGATCGATTGTTGTCGTAAAACAGAAAATTGGGAGTGGGTTATAGTTTTGGGGATTAGGGCTCTTCACTCTCGGGCACTATTATTGTAGTTCTAGAAACCTGATCATGTCTAATTTATAGTTTTCTGGCAGACCGAACGGTTTCCGGATGAATGAAAGCGGGTTCGACAAGTCAATGAACCGATTTTGACAAGTGGCAAGGAAATTCATTTTCACAATTTTCAAGCCCATAAACGACGTTGTTTAACGGTTCTTGGCTTGGAAGGGAAAGGGGATAAATGGAGAGACTATTCCAATCTTTTATTTTCTTTCTATATTGTTTGATATCTTCCACCATATATACGTGAGAAGTATATACCAAAATTTGGCGCTGAAAAAAATGTCATTGTTTGTATTTATAAAAATCTCCTTTATCCAAATTTTATAGATTCTAAACTTTGAAGTTAGAAAGAGTAATGGACATATAAATTTAGAATCACGAATTATCTCATACATTATCCCTCAATCTTACGCTAATTATTGTTTAATTTCAAACACCAATAACTACTGTGTTTCCCCTTTTTTTTATTTCATATTTGCATACCAATTTATTTTCCAACTAAAATAGACTTTCTTTTAATTTGCACAAGCATCAATTGTGCGACAATTATTAGAGATACAATAAAGTGAAAAAAAGTTGATCGTATAAGACGTCATTTTTTATCAAGGTGTTTCTAAGTTTCTTTTACTCACATTGGCACTATTTAAATAGCGAGACAACATTTTTTTCTCATGAAAAATTGCGTTTTCATTATTAGACCTTTTTGACATATACTTTATTTATGAATTGCTTTTGTCATTTTAAATCTCTTAGGAACATAAATTAATCACCATATTTAGTAAAATGTGTGATTCTTTCCAATCAACATAAATTAATCCGTTTGCTCACATGGATTGGCATTAATTGGAAAAGTTTTACTTTCTTAAGCATGTACGTCACGAAACGGATATATTTTTTGTCTTTTTTTCTATTATTATTTTGGCTCTATTTGACATTGAACAACTATTTTCATTTGCACGGTAATTATTAATAAAAATTTGATCTCTTTTTTTTTTTTTTATGTAAGTGGGAGGGTTCAAACGTTCGAACCCTCCTGCATACGCTCCCTCATCCTAAACCACCCAATTCATCTCTTATTTCAAATATAAAAATTGATCACCTATGTATTGGTAAACTTATTTTTTTCTAAATAAAGTAAGGCACACACGAGTCTAGAAAAAAAGCTTCTTTTTTTCATTTCTTCTTTAATATATACTTTATTTTTACATATCTAAACTTATTTCCTAAAACATCAGAAAATTAAGGACACACAAGACTAAAACTTTTTTTTTTTTTTTTCGTTTTCATCTATACTTTTTATTTCTTGTGGTATCAAACTATAATAAACAAAAGTGTAATGGGCAATTGGGCCTGCATATGCTTAAAAGGTCCTCTTTTGTTTCCCTGTTTCAACATCTGCCGTTGTCGCTGGACGTGGCCTCCACTTTGTCCTGAAGCGGAAGAAGAATCTTCAGCTCTTGTTTCTCGCTGTAGCCATCCCTCTCCAATGAAAGATGGCTGGTAATATCTATATGCTACAAACAACATGAACACTGCCCAGAAAAAAAAAAAAAAAAAAAAGTCAATAATTGTATCGGTTTCTTTTAGGCTTTCTTTTTCGCCAAATTTAGGATCAAAAGGGGCAGTAGTAAAAAGTCAGGAACTATTTTACCTGCCCAAATTCGGCAACAATTGAAGATAAATTCCACACCAGTGTGAAGATAGCAAATGCCACGGCTTTCTTATGAGAACATGATTCCCAAGCGTCCCGAAATCGTCGAATCCAAAATACACCTTCATGAACATATATGCAATTCGTGTCAGCAAATTCTTGAATTTGGGCACATACATAGCTGTGGTTGGATTTTCTTTCTTTTCTTTTATGTATGTATGTATGTGTGATAAAATGATAACTTGGTGGGACTGAAATCGGACCTCATGCAACCTTATGCATATCCTAATACTTAGTACTACTTTTGTTTTGTGGGATCCATCATATTCCAAACATTGGTTTCTTTCAGTTTCCAGCAACTAATCACCTAATCCTAAAGAAAGTTGGATCAACAATTCAACATGCTGCACTTATAAAGCTTCCCCAGAAAAATACTACTGCATAATAAATAGAAGAAGGCTGGTAGTTTGGTGGGCGACCCTGTCTGGTCTTTGCAGATGATAGACAGGTTCTTGTGGGTAGGCACTGCTGTAACGGTACAAACAATCAAGACTCCAGAGACGTATCCTATGTAACATGAATGAATTGAACTACTAACTTTTATGCAATTGTGATGTGCAGATGAAGAAAACAAATTCAGATTTGAGAGAGCAAAAGATTTATTATGGGGCTTTTTTTTTTTTTTTTTTTTGGCTCTTTACCGTAAGCAGTTAATTGAGTGGAATAGGATGAGCAGACTTTTGGCACTGTGAAAACTCCGAAAAAGCCTGTGACAGGAAACAAGCGTCAGCCACCAGAAGAAAGTCAAACCCACCACAAGGAATGATCAGAAAAGGAAATCTATAAAGTCTGTCAAAGTACAGAAAATTACTTCTACTTCTACTTGCTTCAGCCATGCCATGCTAGAAAGATAAGCATTGGCGTTATGGAAAACTCACCCAATTTGACCATTTTCCATATGGTTATGGAGCTGCCACACCGTGCCAAGACAAACAGTAGCAGTGCCATCTGTCAGAATAGATTCACAAATTGTCAACTACTACTCATAAATTCCCATCGAACATAAAGCTGAAATTGTCCCAAAAATTTGATATCATCAAAATTCAAGAAAAAAAAATGGAGAGATCATATGAGCTGGAGGAGCTTTTTTATCCCCCAACCCATTAATTTTACCTTCATTGTAGTAGCAGGATCTCCAGAGAAGAGAGCTTTGATTTTCAACAGAAACTCATTTACACAGGGAAGAATCAATTTCACCAACCAAACTGCTTCCTCTTCCCCAACAACATAGTCCGTGCTTGAATCATCTAAATCGACAGCTCCCCTAGTAAATGGTATGAAGCCTTTTGAGAAGAGCCATCAGTTGTAATCACTTTTATCTATTCAAATAAAGAAAAAAATTACCTGGAAATGAGTGATCTGAAGAGGAAAATTGCTGCAAGATAGATCAATCCCAGATAGGATAACACAGATATTGCACTGTCGTTGCCATGATTCAAGAAAATTCAGTCAAGTGCTCTTTATTTAAAACAGATTATTAACAAAACAGAGTTAAAATGTCTTTTCACTCTTCAAGAGCAAGATAAGTAATTAATTACCTGATGTTGAGATCCTTAGCGTATGAAGATGAAATAATGATGAATGTTCCAATGCCAAAGACAAATGCTGATTTTGATGCATCCCTCCACATCACCAAGTCAACTGCAAAACATACACCAGCAAGAAATGCAAAGTGCCATCAAGTAGTCTCTAATAAATATAATTGAATTCAGCCCAGAAAATAAATCTTACCAATGCTCTGTAATTTGCTACGAGTTCTAGGACTTCCCGAAATTCATCTGGAACTTGAACAACAACAGCAGCAGCAGAAATTTCAGTGCATTTTTTGTGGTAAGAATGTCACATTTCTGATCATGATCAATGGTGTGCAATTGAACAATATGCGCTTACTTGGTCTTTTTTTGTTGGACTTGGATGAACTCTGGCATGGCTGACAACAGGAGGAGACTGTTTCTTCACCAGTGATGGAATTGACATTGGCCTTTCATTGCTCTGACGAAATTTCTTCTCTTCTACCACAACCTTCTTTGGCTTCTGCTCAGCAACACTGATCTCCTTCACAACAAGACTCGTCTTTTCAATCTCAACTTCAATTTCCTGATCACCCTCTTCCTCCAACTCATCATCCCAATCTTCTTCATCACCATCGGCATCGTCAAAATCGTCAGTGTCTTCTACTGTTGGTGGAGATTTGACCTGCTGCTGTCCTGCATTGCTGCTAATATTGCTTGTAATCACCTTCTCTTCACAAACATCAACTTCCTTACAATCTTCATCAGACCTTGTTTTCTCCATTCTAACTATGTTGTCTTCTTTAGGACTCTTATTTGACTCATCAACAACTGCCTTTTCTTTCTCAGACTGCACTTTAGAACTCTTGCCATTATCATCATCAAAATCCTTGCTTGATACAGTTTTTGCTTTCACCAGCTGGAGGGAATTATTAACATTCCCATTAGAAGAGTCCTCAACAGCCTTAATTGAATCTGATTTTACTTTCCTCAATTCAGAAGTCTTCTCACTTGCATTTTCAGTGTTCAAGGCCTTAATGGTCTCTGATTTCAATTTCCTCAATTGAGTTGGATTCTTGTCATTTCCATCAGAGGATTCACTAGAAAACTTTTGAGAAGCAGATCTTATCTTCATACTCTGAATTGGGCTTTTCTCAATTCCATCAACCGAAGCACCCAAATCCTTAATTGCCTCAGATTTTGACTTCTTGCTCTGAGCTGGGCTCCTTTTAATTCCATCAGCAGACATACTCAATTCTCTAAACTGTTCATCAAGATTCTTGTTTGTTTCAGATCTTTGCCTAGCAATCTGAATTGGGCTCTTCTCCGAACTGTCAGATTTCCAAGTTTTCCTCTTCCCACTAGCCCCCACTGGACTCGTTTTTGGCCTCAAATTCATTTTTTTATCCACTTGAGCTGGAACAATAGCTAATCTATTACTACTCCCACCATCCTTTTCATCATTTTCTTCTGAATCATTACTACCATTTTTCTCACCATTAAAAACTTTGATGCCACCTTTGACTTCATCAAGCTTCATTCTGCTCTCCCAAACAGACCCCGCCACAACACCAATTCTTGATGATGTAGCTCCACCACCCCCTTTTCTTCTCCCCACATCCATATTCTTGCTTCTTTTGTACTACTCTTATCACTTTCGTCTCTCAGGTAGACAGCAGTAATGAGTACACTGGGGACCCTTTGGTTAAGTAATGGATTGATTGAGGCTTTGATTTCAAGAAATGGCAATTGGTATGATGAAAATCATGAAGACATTGGGATTCC